AATCAGAATGTGTATTATTTGTAAATATCAATTTTATTAGTCTATAATTTTTGTTTTGTGCCGTTTTTCATCAAACAATCATGCTTATTTTCTGACCCGAAAATATTTCCAACATTGTTCCCAACTTACATATGTATGTATTTCGTCCACAGTTTTACTATTCACAAGCAGTAAATTATAATTTTTTCACTAAAAGTACAACACAGTATACCAACAAAAAAAAAACGATCCCTCCATTCACACACGCCTAATCAAATTTTCTTTATTTCTCTCTTGCCATACAATTTCTTAAAAAAAACCCAGCTGGAACGTTCCGCTAGCTTGGTTCAGGATGCCGAAAGTGGTGTTGTACGCAAGATACCAAAGAAGAGTGCAACCCATATCACCATGCGCATTTTGATGCAGGCCTTTACGATGACCTTCCTGGCCGAATGGGGCGATCGTTCGCAACTAACCACCATTATTTTGGCCGCCAGCAAGGTGAGTGAATATGATTGTTTTTTTTTTGTTGCATTTTATATTAATTTTTCTATTTGTCATTGCTTGCAGAATGTCTATGGCGTCATTACCGGCGGTATTATTGGCCACTCCATCTGCACCGGTTTGGCTGTAATCGGTGGACGTATGGTGGCCGCTAAAATTTCTGTGCGCACTGTTACAATACTCGGTGGCATTGTATTTATAGGGTTTGCAGTGTATGCTTTGATTGTAAAACCAGACGATATTTAAAGTGCAACTTAAACAAAAAAAAAAAAAATGGAAATTCATGTGCGAAATGACGAAGATAAACGCAACGGAAATATGCAGCATCAAAAATAATTTACTTTAGTTTCATACTAACAAACCAATTCTATATTTTTTACAAAGTAAAGTGCTCAAAGTGTTTTAATAGTTTTCACTTATTTTTTTTGTTTCAAATTTATTTAGATAATTTTATAAGATACCGAACTTTAACAAGTAAAGTGCCTTCCTTTTGCCATTTAGAAAATTATTTATTCAAAGAGTTCACAAAAACTGCAGAAAAATGTGCTAAAGCAATATGCAACCATGACATTTTTAGTTGGTTTTTAACATAAAATTGGCGCGCATTAATTATTCGAAATTCGTTCATTTGTAATTCGTTTCGAATTGCTGCATAGCTCTTTCTTATGATGCACTTAAATATACATTTATAAGTTGTTACTATTTGCCAATATTACTTAATGTAAAACAGTCTGTGTTGCTTACTCTTACAATACATGTTGTGTAAATAAGCTCAGCGTGTGTAACAAAAGTTATATAAATTTCAAAAAAAAAAAAACGAAATAAATAATCACTGACTGTATAAGCAATCAAATCCTACCTACTACTGAAATGTTTTGTAAATCCGCTCGAAGATGCAATTGACAAAATTGCCTACATTGATGTAAATTAAAACGAATAAGAAAAAAAGCTACCAAAAATAAAAGCTTGTTTTGTGAGTGTATTGTATTTAATATGTAAAAAGTGAGAAAAGTAAAAGTGGAGCATCATACAAAAACAAAAATATACTAGTAAAATAAACTCAGCAAATTTTAAGCAAAACGTACAAGACTTGTATTTTCTTTCCTTTTTGTCATAAAAGCGTTTTTTTTTATTTAAATTAAACAACTTAAAAATCTATGCCAAATTATATTAGATCGATATAGTAGTTTAGTACATACATATAGAATATTAAATAATGCTCATTTTTCTTTTATTTTTTCATAAAGTTATAAAAAATAATATTTATAATTTAAAATTTGCGTCAACTTAGCACCGCCATTTACTTCTGTGTCATTGGATCGCGATAGATTCCAGTGAATAATATCGCCTTGGCGCTGTAGTCATAAATAAGGAACAAAAATGGATGATTGCACTCGAATTTGGTTGGTTCGAGCGGACGTGCTGAACGGAAACTGAAAAGCACTGTGGCCGCTGAGGCGGTGCTGCCCTCTTCGTCCACCTTTATTTTGGCCACATGTTTAGCGTCACCGATTGGCAGGCTATTGGCCGAGAAATCGCTTAGATCGGCTTCCTTTTCGAATAGAGAATTGATGCCAACTTCGCGGAGAATCTGTGAAGTATAGAGAGGAGAGTGGAAATACACAGTTATTAATACATATGTACATAATTACATTATTTTTAGTTTTTACTCAATAAAAGATTTAATAATACTAAAATAACTGCGAGTAGCAAGCAGAAAAAGGTTGTACGGTTACAGCCTCCGAATGTGATTTCATATTCATTGCATGAATTCAAACTCGAACCCAAGTTCATTTTGTCCTAAGCGCATGATAAATGACCTAAATACGATTTAAACCCCGTTCTTTCGATGTACTTAACCGACACGAAGCATAAGGTGCAATTTAAAATCCTTTGAAAAATCTTTTTAGGCCAAAAACTGTAATGAAATACGAAAGGGCAATGCGATGCGATAGCCAAATACGCCATAAGTAATATGATGTGGCGATTGCCTATCGCATCGCATTACATGAGTAGCCTCCCTGGACTTAATTAATTGTGAAAATTGTACAGTGATTTTTTTTTTAATTTTCGATGTAGATTAACTCAGAAATAGGGCTCTCGATCGCTTGATTCGATTTTTGACAAGCAAGTCAAATACTTCTTGTTGTTCGCTATCCGCCGTACGGTTTTGTTAACCAATCGGCAAATGATAAAAAAGGCACAAATATATTCATGATAATACCTGATAGCATAATACGAGCTATATCATTTCTCGCCAAACTATTTGGGTTTTACGCTTTACACAACCGTCTTTGACAATCAAAGTTGATAAGTTTGTTTGTTTGTTTTGAATATACCGCTGCCAACTGATGAAAGCTATTCTCACCAAGAGCTCGGTAGAGGAACAGAGGCTAAAGCTCTTCGTCTGGCTTAACAACTTGGAAAAGCAGAGGTATTGGCCTCCTTTGTTGGCTGGTTTCCCCTGCTTTAGTAGTGAAACAACCTCCCTGGTATTCACTCATCTGAAATCATTGGTGAGGTATGCTTCTTCCGTTGGGCACAACTTTTTCAGCATCAGCATGCATATTCCTTTGGAGGCTTTCGCCACCTAAAACATTCATTTCCTAGAACAGCCGCTTCCCCCAGAATGTTCAGAAGGATTTCCACTAGACGTCCGGATAGGATGAAGCGTGCCGCTGCAGCAGTGACTAACCTTGCGGAACCGACGTTGGCCTGGTGTACGCTTGTGGGAAGGACGGCGAAAGTACTCTCGGTAATTCTGCGAAGCCGTCCCAATCAGCTTTGTTGAAGTTGTTATACAGACGATGGTCTGCGCTAGGTCAGGCGAACTGCTACAACTACGCACAATCCTTGGGGAGACGTCGTCGTTCATCGAGCAAAACATCGAAGCGTCTATCTGATCCATTAATAGAATTCCCTTGCGATCATTTGACAGGGTTAAGTGCCAAATATATTTCTAGCTCGACATCGCCTAGCCGGAATGATGGGGTTCGCCGACCTAAACGGGTTTAGATCGCCGAAATAACAGTCTGGGTCGGGGAAAAGTGCGAGGCATTCCGATGCGTAGAACCGGTTGAACTTATCGGGGTTGTTGTTGTTGTAACAGCATACAAATTCCCCAAAGAGATTTTGGGGAGTGTTGCTGGAGTGACAGTCCTTGGCCAGACATAAATCTGGGTCGTTCCGGTTACGTAGACCCGACTGTCGTGGGAACGAACTTATCGGGGTATTCAAATCTGCTTGCAATGGAGGTCTTAGGAGCTCATGCGCTTTAAGATTTTGGAAGGATATAGGGAAACCCCTTTGGTGGACAGCAGAGTTTCCCGATCTTAGGACGTCAAGCAAACAACTCAATCAATTGATCCCATGGAACTATACTACGCTCGCATTAGGAACTTTAAAACAAGGCTAAGAATCTGTAAGTCTTAAATTAAGTAAGCTAAGAAGCATTCTTGGCGAGCGTTCGACGAAAGCCGTACCGAGGACTCACTCAAGCTGTTCCCCAGACTTTGAGAGTGGTGAAGACGGCGACTCCCACATTCTACTAAGAATTTCAGGCCAATCAGGGGAGGCAAGTCACAACTAAGTTTTGTAATGAAGCAAAGATGTTGGTTTTGGGGCTGGGAAGAAACTGACTGTTTAGCATTTTGTTTACGAGTTATAAAAAGATTAAAATAACGTGCATAAATCTAAATATCAATTAGAACAAGAAAACAGAGTCACACTGCTCCGATTTAAGCGCAATACAAAATCTCAATAGAATGATATATTAAGTTTTCTCATTGACATATCGATACCTGAGTGGAATATCGACCTATTTCGACAGCCAGTTCGAAAACGCACTAATTCAGAAAAATTTTCAAGAACGCCTTATTTCAGAATTTGGTTGAAGAAAGCACTATCCCGGAATCTGATTGAATAACTTAGAACTCAGAACTTAGTTCAAAATCACCCTATCTCAGCAAATTTTCAATGTATTTTCAGCTGAGATAGGGCGTTCTTCAACCAAATTCTGAGATAGGGTGTTTTTCAATAAAATTCTGAAGTAGGTCCTTCTATAAAAGTTTTCTGATTGATATCAAAACTTACCGGCACCAGTTCCAACTTTTGCTCAAATGCGAATTTTGGCAGCGCCACTTCTACCTCACGCGCCATGCCTTCTTTCAGTGCATCGTCCAATGAGTCCGGTGTCAGTTTAGCCAAAACACCATCCAAATTGTGGAAAGGCGGAAGAATCACGATCATCGAGATATCCGATTCCTTCTCGTTGTCATTGGAAGTGACATAGGGCATCTCCAACACATAGGCACCCAGATATTCATCCAAAGCGAGATTGTAAGTGCCACGCTTATGCATCATATCCACAAATGAATGCTTGCTCTCCGATGTGTAGAAAATGTCTTTCTTTGTGTCTTTGGGATCAAATTTATTCGACCACTGACCCTTAAAGTATGCAGCATTTGCCAAAACTAATTGTGTCTGCGCATCAACATCGCCAGGACTCAACATATCGGGAATTTCATTCTGTGTCACATTACTAATCCAATTGTTGATTTCAATACGGCTCTGTTCGGCGTTATTGTGGAAATCAAGCGATGCCAGCTCCTCATGAAAAATATCCTTAACACAGTCCGTAAGCGGAATTTCCTTGTCGAAGTAGATGCGATCGGCGCCAGCAAACTGCAAAGGCATTTTCTTGGCGCGCATCAAGCGACTCTTCTTCTCCAAATTATAGCCGCTGAGCACATGATTCTTATTCTTTGCCCACTGCAACGACAAAGCTTGCGTCAGCTCCGCCTCTGTCTGGCCGCGTGCGCCAAAATACGCCAGCAGGAGAGCGTGGAATGTGCTGTAGGGCGAGAAGAAGACATTCTCGTTGGGTGTAGCCTTATTGATGGCTTGCAGCATCGATACGGTGAAGTTCTGTTGGCCGCGATACAAATCCGAGCGTACGGTGTGTGGCACATCGGCGAGGTCGCGTCCAATTTGGCAGGTTTCTTGAGCGAATATGCAGGGCGTTAGAAAACACACGAGCAGCGCTAAAAACTCTAAGCTTGACCAAGTCATTGTGTACTTTACTGGCGGAGCGACTGTAACGAAATTGTGAATTGTTTAGAGGTGATTAGTAATACTGATGTTTGAATTGTCAGAATATAAATTTAAATACGGTAAAAATTTACGACAATGCAGCTTTTAGGTGGAACTGACGAGCTTTTGCTTCCAAGAGCCGAGCCAAACGAAAAAAAAATTAAAAAATTCCCATAACAAATCAAGACTAAGCAAGCGGCCTTGCCGGTGAGGCATCGAACCGCATTTCAATCAGATTTCAAACGACACACGCACTGTGGGCCGCATTTACATACAAATACATATATAGCACATAGATATTTGTGTTATGTTTATTGTTTTTTTTTTCTGCAATTTTATTCGTCGTTTGCCCAAATTCGCTTTGCCGCAACACCTGAATCAGCCGAGGCACTCAAACCAAATTGAAACGTGATCCGACTGCGAGACGGCTGACCGGTCTTCAACTTGACTCAATTTGCCAAAACTTCCATAGCAGTGATTCTGCGTAGCGGGCATCGACAACAAAGGTGACTTGCTTACAAATCTAAATTCGCACTAAAAAATTTGTATATTGCGATAGGTACATAAATCTATAGAGTTTATGCACACATCTACGTACTATGTCTATACCTATGCTTGTATGTATGTAATGCCAATTAGCGTGTAGGTTTAAGTGTTTTGTAGATTATGCAGCAAATATGGCTTAAGGTGATTTTTGTTTTAGCGACAAAACGACAGTCTTGTTGCTCAGTAAATATCTAACAAAAAGTAGAAAACTTGCCTTGAAATCCATGTAATCTTTAGGCTTAGGTTTGTTTTTAGTGTTAAAAAAAAAAAAAAAT